TCTAGTACAGAAAGGTAATTATGTGCTTTATTTTTTATAAATAACGTATTTAGTAAAATGTCTATCTACTTAATATGCATGTTGTTTCTAATAGGTTCTTGAATAATCATTGTTTCAGGAATTATGCTATATCATCTATGGATTGATCCATAGATGTTATAGCATAATTCCAGAAATTCAAATTCTGTCGACACTGCGATATTATGAAACTGGATGTTTTCTGAACGTAGATGGTGATTTTACTGGAGTGAGTAAGGGATCAGCTTGTCGAATTGTGAATGTGGTGTCACAAGCAATCGCACGATATCGAACTGTGTCCGTAAAGTTTGTTAAGTTTCCAGAAGATGTTACTGAATTATAAGGAGACTTTTATGAGATAGCCAAGATTTCCAAGGCTTATTTATTGGTGCCATTCATTGTACCCACGTCCCAGTAAAATCAACAGGCGGTGACAATGCAGAAAGCTATCGGAACAGAAAACGCCAAATTTCGTTCAAAGTTCAAACAATAGTTGGTTCAGAATTGAAAATAATGGACATAGAGGCTAGACGACCTGAAGCCGCACACGACCAAATAATATTTAATAATTCGTTTATAAAACAAAGATTTTTGATAAGGGAATTTGGTAATAGTGTATTTGTTGGTGATAAAGGTTATGAAAATACATTGTATCTATTGACTCCACTTCAAAATCCTGTTACACCAGCAGAACATCTCTATAACGAATAAGAAGTAGGAATCTTCTTGAGCGGAATTACGCTGTAAAAATAGGTTTCCTATATTAGCAAAAAAGATAATATACATTTGTCTCGTGTCCAGTCTGTGATCGTAGCATGTGTGGTGTTGCACAATATTGCAATTAATCTAAAAAATATTTTTGTATCATTATAATTGTTTAAGAGTATGTATTTCAGGTATATAAATACGTAACACAAAATAATGTAGAAAAATGCATTATGAATGCTTTCAAGAGTGATTAAATTAAAAATATGTTTTATTTTCTCACATTTCCCGTAAAGCGAAACTCCAAAATGCGACGTTGCCATCTCAATCTTACAAGTAACAAACTGACACATAAACTTAATGGTAAGGCGTTTGTGAAACGCAAACTATTTTAACCGGAAGTTTTATGTGGCAGTTAATTTATTTGTCAGTTAGTTATCTAACACTTTATTCTAAGGGGTCTTTTTAACTGACCCTAAGGGTCTGTTTCACAATGTCCAAATAAAATCACGAATAAGCTACTTGCCACTTATCTGACGAATAAAGTCATCGTTGGTGTTTCACAATCTTCTGTTAAGCGTATCTGGCAAATAAAGTTCGAAGTAAATTATAGGTTAGATTATCTGTCAGATAAGGAATTTATTTGATGGTTTGTTACTTGACTGATCATTTCCAAGAAGGAATTAGTATACGTATTTCGTATGTGGTGAAATAGAAAAATATTAAAAATGTATTTATCTAATGCCTTGGACGACGAATTAGATGATTTTTTTATCGTCTATCGGAGCTACGCATAGATCCTGTGTTTCGACGACGTTGTAATCACATGGAGACATTTGATAATGAGGAATTTAGAGTTCGATTTCGATTTAATAAAGATACTGTTTATTATCTCCATTCACTTATTGAAGACAAAATTTCTTCGTGTTTTATTTTTTTCATAAATAACGTATGTCGTGAAATGTCTATCAAATTAATATCCATGTTGTTTCTAATAGGTTCTTGAATAATCATTGTTTCAGGAATTATGCTATATCATCTATGGATTGAATTCTGTTGATACTGCGATATTATGCAACTGGAAGTTTTCTGAACGTATTTGGTGATTTTACTGGAGTGAGTAAGGCATCAGCTTGTCGAATTGTGAATGTGGTGTCACAAGCAATCGCACGATATTGAACTGTTTCCGTACAGTTTAAAGTTCCCAGAAGATGTTACTGAATTATAAGGAGACTTTTGTCTCCTTACATTTCAGTAATATATATAGCTAGATTTTCAAAACTTATTGTTGCCATTCATTGTAACCATGTCGCAATAAAATCTACAGGTGGACAATGCAAAAAGCTATGGGAACAGAAAACGCCAATTCTCGTTCAATGTTCAATCAATAGTTGGTTCAGACTTGAAAATAATGGACATAGTGGCTAGATGGGCTGAAGCCACACACGACCAAATAATATTTAAAAATTCGTTTACAAAACAAAGATTTTTGAACAGAGAATTTGGTAATAGTGTATTAGTTGGTGATAAAGGTTAAGAAAATACATTTTTTCTATTGAATACACTTCAAAATCCTGTTACAGCAGCAGAACAGCTCTATAACGAATAAGAAGTAGGAATCTTCTTGAGCGGAATTATGCGTTTGTAAAAATAGGTTTCCTATATTAGCAAAAAAGATAATATACATTCGTCTCGTGTCCAGTCTGTAATTGTAGCAAGTGTGGTGTTGCACAATATTGCAATTAATCTAAAAAATTATTTTGTATCATTATATGTATTTCAGGTATATAAATACGTCACAAAAAATAATGCAAAAAAGAAATGCATTATGAATGCTTTCAAGAGTGATTAAATTAAAAAATATGTTTTATTTTCTCACATTTCCCGTAAAGCGAAACTCCAAAATGCGACGTTGCCATCTCAATCTTACAAGTAACAAACTGACACATAAACTTAATGGTAAGGCGTTTGTGAAACGCAAACTATTTTAACCGGAAGTTTTATGTGGCAGTTAATTTATTTGTCAGTTAGTTATCCAACACTTTATTCTAAGGGTCTTTTTAACTGACCCTAAGGGTCTGTTTCACAATGTCCAAATAAAATCACGAATAAGCTACTTGCCACTTATCTGACGAATAAAGTCATCGTTGGTGTTTTCACAATCTTCTGTTAAGCGTATCTGGCAAATAAAGTTCGAAGTAAATTATAGGTTAGATTATCTGTCAGATAAGGAATTTATTTGATGGTTTGTTACTTGACTGATCATTTCCAAGAAGGAATTAGTATACGTATTTCGTATGTGGTGAAATAGAAAAATATTAAAAATGTATTTATCTAATGCCTTGGACGACGAATTAGATGATTTTTTTATCGTCTATCGGAGCTACGCATAGATCCTGTGTTTCGACGACGTTGTAATCACATGGAGACATTTGATAATGAGGAATTTAGAGTTCGATTTCGATTTAATAAAGATACTGTTTATTATCTCCATTCACTTATTGAAGACAAAATTTCTTCGTGTTTTATTTTTTTCATAAATAACGTATGTCGTGAAATGTCTATCAAATTAATATCCATGTTGTTTCTAATAGGTTCTTGAATAATCATTGTTTCAGGAATTATGCTATATCATCTATGGATTGAATTCTGTTGATACTGCGATATTATGCAACTGGAAGTTTTCTGAACGTATTTGGTGATTTTACTGGAGTGAGTAAGGCATCAGCTTGTCGAATTGTGAATGTGGTGTCACAAGCAATCGCACGATATTGAACTGTTTCCGTACAGTTTAAGTTCCCAGAAGATGTTACTGAATTATAAGGAGACTTTTGTCTCCTTACATTTCAGTAATATATATAGCTAGATTTTCAAAACTTATTGTTGCCATTCATTGTAACCATGTCGCAATAAAATCTACAGGTGGACAATGCAAAAAGCTATGGGAACAGAAAACGCCAATTCTCGTTCAATGTTCAATCAATAGTTGGTTCAGACTTGAAAATAATGGACATAGTGGCTAGATGGGCTGAAGCCACACACGACCAAACAATATTTAAAAATTCGTTTACAAAACAAAGATTTTTGAACAGAGAATTTGGTAATAGTGTATTAGTTGGTGATAAAGGTTAAGAAAATACATTTTTTCTATTGAATACACTTCAAACTCCTGTTACAGCAGCAGAACAGCTCCATAACGAATAAGAAGTAGGAATCTTCTTGAGTGGACTTATGCTGTTTGTAAAAATAGGTTTCCTATATTAGCAAAAAAGATAATATACATTCGTCTCGTGTCCAGTCTGTAATTGTAGCATGTATGGTGTTGCACAGTATTGCAATTAATCTAAAAAATGTTTTTGTATCATTATAATTGTTTAGGAGTATGTATTTCAGGTATATAAATACGTAACACAAAATAAAACAAAAAAAAAATGCATTATAAATGCTTTCAAGAGTGATTAAATTAAAAAATGTTTTATGTTCTCACATTTCCCGTAAATCGAAACGCCAAAATGCGACGTTGCCATCTCTATCTTACAACTAACAAACTGACACATAAACTTAATGGTAAGACGTTTGTGAAACGCAAACTATTTTAACAGGAAGTTTTATGTGGCAGTTAATTTATTTGTCAGTTAGTTATCCAACACTTTATTCAGACATTGTGAAACAGACCCTTAGATGTTTCGTGGAGAGATTAATTTCGCATAGCTCTTCTATTATTGTAGTTTTCACAGTCGCTTGATTATTTGTTATCAATGTATGCCAATATTACGAGTATGCATGTCCTACACGAGGAAGGCATGGTGGCTGATCGCATTGGCTGTATTAAAGCCTCAGAACGTCATGAGGTTGTCGTGTACGAGAACAGAGACGAAAACCTCAACTATCTCCTCAAACATCACTTCACAGCTGCAGCCACTTAAGTCGACTGCTGGGGACATCCCATTGCAAATCCAGAAACGCAAAGCGGTCAGACCGTCTTCAAAAAAATAGCCAGTGAAGCCCGGGCACAAGAGCCTCATAAGGCTCGAAAAAGAAGAGAGGCTAGTCCCTTGCTTGAGGTACTGAGCGCCGCAGCAAAAAATATCGCGGAAATAGCCCATTCAAGCAAGCGTAAACTTAATCAAGCAGGGGACACAACAAGAGCTATACTGGGCAGTCCACCAAGAGCTCCGCCAAAAAGACCATATTGCAGGATCCAGCCACCCAGAACATCCGGGAAAACAAATATACATCCACCACCTCTAAAACAACCAACAAGACCTAGAGATCACATGCTGAACGCCTTCCTAGAGTACATAGCCCTAATAAAAGCAACATCACAAGCGAACCTCGCAAAGTGCAAGGATATCTTGCACACATTCCATCTAGGAGTCGAGAAATCGCTAAGGGTTAAACTTGCGGAGGCTGAAGCTCCTATATACGACAACAAAACATCCAATGTCGTATGTGGCAAAATGGTTGACAACTACATGGTGGCATACTGCGAGTCTGCTGGCTTTGTGCCTATCATAGAGAAAGAAACGGAGATAAGAGGCAAACCGGTATTTGCGACTCCGCCAGGTGACCATATAGTTGTGACTGCCCGGTGCACCAAGGTTATGTTAGACGATAGGATCCTGGCAACAGCCGAATCAATAATGGAAACTGTCGAATCGACGAATCCTTGGCGCAACTGGGACACACTAGAAATAACCTGGGTAAACGGGGTTCCAGGCTGTGGTAAATCAACATGGGTCGTAAACAATGTCGACGCGGCAAGCGACTTGGTGATCACCACAACCACAGAAGCAGCAAAAGACTTCAAGTCGAAGCTAGCCAACAGCCAACCGCATAGGTGCCGCCGCAAACAACATGGCGCGCACAATGGCCTCGGTATTGGTGAATGTCGTGAAGGAATCAGAAAAGGGTTAACTTACTCGACTCGTGGTTGACGAAGCGCTAATGAACCACTTCGGAGCCACAATAATGGCGGCTAGACTGTGCGAGGTAAAGAAAATCATGCTCATTGGTGACATCAATCAACTGCCATACATTGACAGAGAACACCTCTTCCCAATTCAGTACACTCGGCCGAGCCACATCGCCTCCATAAACAAAGAACTGAGGTGCACACATAGGAACCCCATGGATGTAGAGTACGCCGAGTACGCTCAGAGAGATCTACAGTGGCATATACTCTTCCAGGCCTCAAGTGAACTCCCTGCGCCGCAAAACCTTTGCTGGAGCCAACATACCAAAAAACTCCCCAAACACCTTTTATCTAGTGTACACTCAACGGAAGAAAGAATACCTTAAGAAGCAGGGATTTGGCTCTGGCACGGGATCGCGAGTCCTAAACATCCACGAAGCGCAGGTATTAACTCAGGTTTCGGTGGTGATAGTAAAGACACAGGCAACAAAAATCGAACTCCATGAGAGTGTGCAACATGCAGTGTTAGCTATATCAAGACACACTGCAACCTGTGTCTATTACGCTGACGACTCCAGTGAGGCTTTGGGAAGATTTATAGGCCAAGCCACGAGCGCTGGAAGCAAAGTTATACTGGACTATAATTTAAAAATGGCAATTCGAGACAGGAACGCAGCGGTTACGGACAGCCTAGCTAAACTTAACATCAAAGAGAGCCCTGCCTGCTCTTTTGGGTAACTGCATGGCATTTGGAAGTCTCGGAATGCTCGTAGAATAATAACTAAAATAATTATATATATATTATAATACTCCTTGTAGCACATTAAGATTAAAGTTAAAAAAATGGAACGTATGATATAAAAAAAGAGTAATAAAAAATATTAGCATTTAAGTATATTACTTAGTATTACATATACAGCGTGTCGTTACCATCGCGACAATAAATGAACACACGTCTAACGCTACTTACCAATAATCAAAAAAAAATATTAACGTTAAACAAAATCCATAATTAAAAAAAATATTTTTCAAACAAACTAATTAAGTAAAAAAGAAACAAAATTTGTAACATCCTATACAACTCGCGCCACAGCGTCGCATTACAAGCCTCTCCTTCTGACAGTATGTTTTGTCTCTTTTAAATTCATTCAACCCATTCATATGCTTTGTGACCTTTACAAATGAACTTTACGTTACAGTTTTATACGTAAGGGTGTTCTAAAATTCTTTGTTTTGGAAAATTTAATAACTCGGTAAGATTTTTAAAGAATGTAAATGTTTAATACAATTTTTAAAAGTTATCCTCTATATGTGTGTTCATTTATTGTCGCGGTGGCAACGACACGCTGTATAAAAAAAAAGGAAAATAAATAAAAAGGAGAAGAATTATAGCAAATAATTACCTTAACATTAGAGTAATATTACATAAGTAAAACTGTAACAAATATTAGCATTTAAGTACACTACTTAGTATTACATATAAATTAAAAAAAAAAGAGAGTGCGTAACAACATGCACTGTATTAATAAAATTACGCAACTTAATAAAGGTACGGACCAAGTGTCTGTAGTGTAGATCTTATTTTATAAAAAAAAATATTACGAGTATAAGTAAATACTGAAGAAAATTAAAAATATTAATATAATAAAAAAATGTAATTTAATTAAATTATTTAATTCGAGATCGATAGGTGACAGGCGTACGTTTTACAGATTATCCCAATTTTTTATCCCATATCGACATATATATATATCCAAGAGTTTTCCACCGATAATTCACTCATTACGATATCTCGGGAACCATAAAGAAGTCGTACACTTGAACTTTGATAGGAATATTTTTTGGCCGAGTAGAGGTCAGCTAAGAACGGATTTTACGAAATACCACAAAACAAAGTTTGCCGGATCAGCTAATATATATATAGTATCTGGAGGAGCTTTGCTCGGTTTTTTTCGTAAAACGCCGGACCTCAGCGACGCCTAGATGGTGGTCGCTGTCGATATCCGCGCAACGACCGGTTGCGTACATCGAGCAGCGATGAGCGCCACTTGAAGCTAATGGCAACGTGGTCGATCTGGTTCTTAGTTACTCCATCGGGTGAGTTCCAGGTATACTTGTGATGTTCTCCGTGGATAAATAAGGTACCTCCGATGGTAAGATCGTTGTCTTGACAGAACTCCAAGAACCTCTCCCCGTTCTCGTTCCGGACTCCCAGCCCGTGTCGGCCCATGTGTCTTTGACAGCCGTCATTATCTGTGCCAACCTTGGCATTCAGGTCTCCCATGACGATAACTATGTCCTGCTTGCGGGTGTTCTTCAAAGTCAAATTGAGTGCACTATAAAAATCGTCCTTGTCCTCCTCCGATGCCATATTTGTGGGCGCGTAGCACTGAATGACGGTTATCTTTCGGGCTTTGCTGTTAAATCGAGCTGTGACGATTCGCTCTGAGATGGGTTGCCAGTCCAGGAGGCTCTTCTTCGCACCATCATAAAGGAGGAAACCCACGCCGTTTTCACGGACGCCGTCTTCATCTTCCTTTCCGGAGTAAATAAATGTAAGGCCTCTCGACGTTCTCAGTTCCCCGAATCCATTTCTGCGCACTTCACTGAGACCGAGTATTTGCAATCCATATCTAAGCATTTTTGCTTCTGCTTGGGCTAATCGGCTGTCGTCGCTCAGTGTTCGCACATTCCAGCAAGCAATTCGTGTCTGTATTTTCATGCCAAAGGTTGTCGTATTATGATCGGTCCGGTTTTGCACTGTTTCCGTTTCTTTAATAAAAAAAGAAGTCAAGTAAGCGAGTGATTAGCCCACTATACCCTAGCCCACTGGTGGGGCTGCCACCTTAGAGCCTATGAGCGTGCTCGGTTTGTTTCGGGTTTCCTCCCTGGTGAGTGTATTCACCCTCAGCTCAGCTGCAGCTCAAGTTGGCGACTGCGCAAAGGCGCGGTTGCAGCAGTTCCCAGGAGGGACGACGGGGACGTGGCTGACTCGGACTGGCCAGGGCTCTGCTTTATTACGATGTTCTGCCATTATCACAGCAGATGGTTTCTTGGCATTTTGTAGGTAATGCTGTGAGAGTCACATGTAGAGTTTCCCACCAAGACCAGACCCTAGCTTCCCCCCAATATCCGACGGTATATTAATTTCTAATAAATTAATATGACCACTTGGAATACTATCGGTAATTGACGGAAGAACGAAACATCGAATACAGTTCGAGTAGTTATTGCCTAATGACATAATACTCAAATCACACATTTTATTATTATAAGTAATTGCATTGTTGACACCTAATACGGACTTATTTATACGTTTAGCAGGCACATTCAATTTAGTGAACATATTCTCATTTATCAGACGTACTACCATTGTCTAGCACCGCACGCGCGATGTGTTCGTGATCATTTGTGTCGAGTATTTTAATTAACGCAGTCGATAACAACACCTCCCGTAAGCGACACTCGCGGCTAACGTCATGATAGATGCGGATGCGACTGTAGAGGGTAACGAAGCGGCCGCTTGCGCACAAGAAATGCTATCAGCTGATTGTGATGGTACATTATTTGCGACCGGCCTATGTGTAGAAACTAAATCTGTAATGTGTATCATAGTATGATGTTTACGTCTGCAAACTTTACAGCCTTGTTTTTTACATCGGTTTGCAAAGTGTCTACTGCTAAAACAATTAAAACTTTAAAAGTCGGAAGTAACTCTAATCGCCGTTTATTATCTATTGTAGTGCTACAAATTTTGAACAAGCGTTTAGGTAATGTTCATGGCTTTTACACATTGGACAATATTTAATAGACTAGTTTGAACTCGAAGTGATACTATCGTTATTGTTCTGTATAGAAACCATGGATTTGTGTTTGGTATGAGTTTTAGTGGATAAGTTAACGTGCCCTTGATTTGAATTACGTGCTAGTTCAAATGTCTCAATTAAATCAGCTCGGTTTCCCAAAAAAGTATTAAAACATTCTAGTGTGATATTGTCTTTTATTGTATTTTTATTCATTCGACCTTTGAACTCTTTCCAGTCGCGAAACGTTTTAGAGTCTCACTTATTAGAAAAAATATAAATTAAAAGAGTGTCTCATTGCGTAACTGGCTCGCCAAGAGATTCTAATGCGCGTAAGTTTTGTTGACACTATCAATTAATCGTTTCAAGTTAACGGATGACTCTTTTGTAATGGGTTCAATGTTAAATAAAGAAGACACATGGTTTTGTATTAACAACCGTTTGTTATCAAACCTATCACACAGAAGTTTCCATGCAACTTCATAGTTTTTAGCAGAAAATTCGATTGCTTGTATAACCACCGCAGCTGTGCCTTCAAAAACCCAACACTTAAATCATTTCAAAGCGGATACTCTAAAGACCTTACCAGCCGTTGCAACTATTGTTACGCTGCTCCATACAAATTCCACGATATTCAATTCGATATTCAAATGACACCAGCCTTCAGTACCATTATTGATGATTGCTGAATCGTAGACCCGGAGTGCCACGTTGTTATCAACATGGCGATGGCCAGAGACAGCCTTCCGCATCGCGTCAAGAAATTCCAGGACAGTAGGAACCATTCAGAAAATTAGACTTAAATATATTAGTATTTATGCGGAATATTATCCATCACACTTCTGATG